AAATCACAGCAGCGTCCATCTGTGAAGGATGAAGACTGTCAAACACACAACTATTAGCCAATCACAGCAGTGTGTGTTTACTTCTGAGTCTACAATCCTCCACATCTATTCAAACAGAGCGTTTTGATGAGGAGGTCAAAAACAGGACAGAAAATAACTTATAACTTCTAAATTATGTTTTTTGATGTAAAAATCTTGACAATATTATAAGTGGACCTCAGAGAACTGTACAAAATAAAAAACAGAGGCAGTTCATGACCCCTTTAAAAATTACAATTACTTAAATTCCTTTTTTGCAAAGACATTTTTAATTATTGACAAACCCAAATAATTTATTCATATGCCACTGCTCTGTCTCTGAATCTAATGGTGTCGCTGATTTGATATAAAACACATCAAAATACTGACCTCTAAACTCTGGATAACATCTGCAGTACTTAAGGTTTATGAGCTTTAACTTTGATTTTCTTCATGTTTTAACAGTGAAGTGATTGTTCTCAGTGATACTTACTGAACTGATCTGGATTCTTTAATCACAGGCAGCAGCTTCTGAAGAACTTCCATATTTTCTTCCTTATTCATTCCTTTAACAAATTCATCAAGACAAAACTCATTCAGTTCCTCTTCTGATGTCAACAGCACAAAAACTACAGCTGACCACTGAGATGAAGAGAGTTTGGTTTCCTTTATTCTTCCAGATTTCAGATACTGTTGTATTTCCTCCACTAGTGAACGATCACCCAGTTCATTCAGACAGTGGAACAGATTGATGGATTTCTCTGGAGAGTCAATGGTCCTGATCTTCTTCTTGATGTACTCAACTGTTTCCTCATTGCTGTCAGATCTGCTTCTTTTCAGTGTCATTATTTGTTGTAGGAGAATCTGATGAGACTTTACTGACAAACCCAGAAGGAACCGCAGGAAAAGATCCAGATGTCCATTTTTACTCTGTAGAGCCACATCCACAGCTCTCTGATGCAGCTCAGATAATGACACATGTTTAAACAAGAGTTGAAACCTGTCCTTCACTTTAGACAACAAACTCTGGTCAATCTTGTGGTTTGTACAGGAGAGGTGCACATATAGAGCTGCTAGATGTTCCTGAATGCTCAGATGAACAAAGCAGAAGACTTTCCCCTGATACAAGCCAAACTCCTCTCTGAAGATCTGAGTGCACAATCCTGAGTACACTGATGCTTCTGTCACATCAATGCCACACTCTCTCAGGTCTTCATCATAGAAGATCAGGTTGCCTTTCACAAGCTGCTGGAAAGCCAGTTTCCCCAGTTTAAGGATCGTGTCTTCATCTGTCACCTTCTTCTCATAGTACTTCTGATGTTTGATGTTGCTCTGAATTATCAGGAAGTGTGTGTACATTTGAGTGAGAGTCTTGGGAATCTCTCCACTCTCTGCTCGACTCAACATCTTCTCTAGAACAGCGGCTGAGATCCAGCAGAACACTGGGATGTGGCACATGATGTAGAGGCTCCTTGATGACTTCAGGTGTGAGATGATTGTATTGGCCAGACTCTGATCACTGATTCTCTTTCTAAAGTATTGCACCTTCTGAGGGTCATTGAAGCCTCGTACCTCTGTCATTCGATGGACACACTTGGAGGGAATGAGATCAGCTGCTGCTGGTCTGGAGGTGATCCAGATGAGAGCAGAGGGAAGCAGATTCCCCACAATGAGGTTCATCAGCAGCACGTCCACTGAGGCTGATTCACTTACATCACACAACCTCACATCGCTCTGAAAATCCAGAGACAGACGACACTCGTCCAGACCATCAAAGATGAACAACACTTTATATTCACCACTGGATATTTCTATTTGTTTTGTTTCAGGGAAAAAGATATGAAGAAGATCTGAAAGACGGAGTGTTTTGTTCTTCATCAAGTTGAGCTCTCTGAAAGGAAGTGGAAATATGAGCTGGATATCCTGATTCTCTTTCTCTTCAGCCCAGTCCAGGATGAACTTCTGCACAGAGACTGTTTTTCCAATGCCAGCGACTCCCTTTGTCAGCACAGTTCTGATGGCTTTGTCTTGTCCAGGTAAAGCTCTAAAGATGTCACTGCATTTGATGGCTGTGTCCTCTGTTGCTGCTCTCCTGGATTGTGTCTCAATCTGTCTCACCTCATGCTCATTACTGATCTCTCCACTCTCACTCTCTGTGATGTAGAGCTCTGTGTAGATCTCATTCAGGAGTGTTGGGTTTCCCTGCGTCGCTGTTCCCTCATACAGACGCTCAAACTTCTTCATCAGATTTGATCTAAACTTGTTGAGGACTTCATGACTGTAAAAATAAAATACTGCATTATTAAATAAGCTAAGCTAATGTATTCTGGACTCTGCTTCTGATCTCTTCCGCTGAGCTGAACTATAACAGAGAGAGATTAAAGTCAATTCTTTAAATGACCATATTTAACAAAGTACATCTTCAAAGATTATTCAAATAATCACATTAAAAAGCACTTCAGGATCATTTCATTTATACTATTTTATTACAAATGATATTAAATCAAACTGAGTGCTTTCACAAATGCACCTCTACACTATACATGTTAAAATATCAGATAAAGATAAAAAATATATATATATTAGCAATGTACAAGACTTTCTCATATATTTTTCATATCATATCAACTGATTCTTTTGCTAAGCAGCGGAAGAGACATGGCTAATTGTTCTGTTCATGCTTTACCGAGATCTGGTTGAATAAGAGTGTTCCGGACTCTGCATTACATCAGCCGGGATTCTACTTATTCCAAGCGGATCGTACTTTAAGGTCTATGAAGTGTAAAGGCGCAGGCGTGTGTTTTAATGTGAATCAGTGGTGCTGGGTATATATCATGTTGAGACGAGGAAGATCATGCCCAGATTCAAACAGCAGATTAAAGTGATGAGTACATTTGATCATTTCTTAGACTAATGTTATAGTGTTTATCCTAATGCTTTTCACTATGTGTCTTGGGCTCCATTGGGGGCTCCAATCAGACCATAATTTGATTTTTCCCATTCCTGTTTAATGATGTAAATCTAAACATATTACACCAATCAAGGAATGGTCTGTTGATGAAATAGACATGCTAATGTACTGTTTAGAGGCTACTGATAATTGACTATGACTCCTTCCATTAAAATACAGGAATATGAAGTCAGGAAGCAGAACAGCAGGAAGGCAGCAGGTCCTGACTCCATATCATCTGCTACATATGGATATAAGTGGAGTGTGTTCATCCTTGCCCCAGTGTTCACTGATATTTTCAACTGTGAGCCAAAATCATCACAATTAAAAGAACCAAAGACTTAAACTACTTCAGTCTGTGTGCATTGAATTTATTTAATACACGAGTATTATTATTGTTGATGAGCTCAAGTCAATCATCTGAACATTTAACAAAGTGCATCTCCATATATTAATTTTAAAAAGCACTTTTCATTCATACTATTTTATTACAAAAGTTATTAAATAGAATTGAGTGCTTTCACAAATGCATTTCTCTGTTTAACACTGTTAAAATGTCAGATAAAAATATCTATTAGCAATGTACAAGAAGAATTTCTGATACATTGTAGAAAATGCTACTGTATACTAAATATTATACACTGTTTTAATAATATAAATTGACATGCTATAATATATATATAGGCCTACAAATGTACCTGAGATCAGTCTTTGTGTCTTCACTCTTAAACTGTATTGGATGACCCATAGACACGTCACTCTTCATAGACACACAGCTGGACTCTGCTTCTGAACTCTTCTGCTGAAATGAACTATAACACAACAGATTAGATCCTTTATGATAATCATTTTATTTTAAGGTCTTTAAGTATTTTTCATCAGAAACACTCCATGAGGAGGCTTTTTGACCTTTTTTCTATAAAACTTTACTTTTAACTTCCTTCAATTTAAATTTTTAACCTCCAGACAGAAAAAAACACGATGGAGACTCCCATCCACCATCATTCAAGGTGATTTAATACAGTGTTTATTCAAAGCACCTGCATCCTGGAGAAGCAGAATCTGATCTCCAGCACTGACTCTGAATAGAAATGACAAACAAACACAATGGGCCTGTTTACACCTGGTCACTAAAAGCGTTTTCTCTGATAACATAGCTATCCGATCGTGAAAAGATAGAAAAGGTGTAAATACCCTCTGAAAGGCTTTCGAGACGGATTTAAATCACTTCAGACGAAACTGGACAAGTGTAAATGCATCTGGTTGTTTGAAAACACATGTACTTTTTACTCCTCCCAAAATGTTAAAATAATAAACGTGTGAGAGCGTGTTATAGGCAAGATGACAGCACGCTACAACATGCATCGCCGCAGATGAGTGGAGTATGTCTTCAGGAAGCAGACGCTCAAACTTCCGCAACACTCAACACAATCATTCTCCTGAATGAACGATTACAGCCATTACACTAGCATAGTATTAGATACATCAGATCACACTTAAAGCGCTGTAAAGTTACTTTAATCTTCAGTATTCGCTAAATGGATAAATACAAGTAAACTGCTTCACAACAACATCCCACAGTTAATAAAACCCCAAAATCATAAGGTTAAACAATAAAAATGCATAAACAATAAAAATAATATGAAATGTAAAGTATGAATATAACAATAAACAATTAAATAATATGAATGAATAAAAATGATCAAGTGATAAATTACATAAATGGCTACTGATTATATATTATTGTATGATCATGTGATTAAGTGATAAATTAATAAAAACAAGAAAAAAAAACACAAATGTATAACTGCCCTCTTGAAGATTTGCACATTTGCGGATCCTTAGACTAGCCGCTCAAAACATTTCATGACTATCTTAAGAGCGATAGTTATTCATTCCTATTGCTGCTGCAGTCTTAGGCACTGGAATAATGGTTGATGTCTTGAGACAGACTGGCACTAAAGTGAGATGTTGAATATGTCTGTCCATACTCCTGTGAGCTCATGAGCACAGGCTGTCAGAACCAGTCCAGAGATACTGTCTGGGCCTGCTGCTTCAGCACACACACTGAGAGGCACCTCATCTCACTATAGTCAGTGATGATTTGTATGCCCTTCCACATACTCCACGGGTCATTAGTAAAAAAAAAAGACCTTGTATTTTGTGTGCCCTTTTAATTCTAGCCACCAAATTTCTCCTCACTGTTCTCAGTGCCCCGTCTCCTGATCTAAAGGCTTTAGGAGACACCGCACCTCTCCATTTAGCCAGGGTTTCTGGTTGGGGCAGATGGCAATCCTCCTGGATTACAAAACATTTGCTGACATAACTGCAAACAGATGACACGTACTCTTCCAGGTCCACCCTTTGTCCACTAGTCACAGCCTCTCTGAAGACCTGCCAGTCGGTTTTCTCAAAGCAGTCCTACAGCATGGGGACAGCTGTGCTGGGCCACACTGTGATGGTCTTCTGTGTGGGCTTATTGTGTATAAGCACAGAACGGTGGGTAGCAATCAGCATGATGGAGATATGGTCAGAGAAACCCAAATGGATGTATATGCATCCCATCTATTGGTATAAACCTGGTCTAGCGTGTAATTTCGCCTGGTTGCTATGGAGAGATGTTCATAAAACTGAGGCAGAGTGTCCATCAGCTTAACATGATTAAAATCCCCGCTACCACAAGAAACGCCTCTGGATGCTTATTTTGAAGCTCCCCGATGTGGTCATGAAGCTCTCCGAGAGCCATGCTAGTGTTAGCATTCGGGGGAACTTACACAGACACAATGTACACAACTGTAAATTCCCTTGGCTAATAATATGGCCGGCACTTCAGCGTCAAATATTCCACCACTTCAGAACAATGGCTGCTTACCAGAGAACAGTTTGTGCACCAGTGTTTGTTAATGTAGACAGTGTGCCCCCCTCTTCAATTTCCCCCGTTTATCACGATCAGCTCAGAAGAAGAGCAGCTCCTCGATCTGGAACGCTGTGTTGGGCATATCATGGTTTAGCCATTTCTCTGTTAGAAAAAGTGCACAGCAATTCCTCATTACCTTGTACCTGTTCATTCGAAGTCACAGTAAATCCATTTTGTTGTTTAGCGAGCAGACAATAGCCAGAAAGAATGTCAGAAAGGTTGTCGGTCGCCGAGAAGCCGCTGCACTGTTGTGCGCCGCCGTGTTCTGTGGTTAGACATGAAATCATTTACGAAATTATTTGCGAACCTGCTCCAAAGTTCTGATCTGAAATGATGGTTGGCGATTCATTTGATTCAGATAGCAGCACCCCAAGTGGTTAAAACAATGTGACCAAAACACTGAGTTGTATTGTGCATCGCTGTTTGAAAAAAACTGACCTTTTTGTGAAATTTCACTAATGTGACCACACCTCATACTTGCCACATCTGTGACTTTTTAGTGCTTTATTTTCATCAGGTTCAAGGTTGTAGAATTTAGTAGAGACGCTATGACATGTCCCTACCAATATCCAGAGACTACTAAATTGTCCCTAGCAATAATTTTGATCAACCAATTAAATGTCTGTTGTCTGCCGTTATGTTCCCACCAATGGATTTTTAATCGGTTTAATCAACAAAACTGATCAATCAGTCGACCTTTATTATTCATTGCTTTTGAAACAGAAATCCAGCAATACATTATATCAAGCTATTTCATCCTCAAAGAACTCTAAATCTCTTAGGACGATAACCTGTGCTACCGTTTTCATTTATTTTGATAAATGTTACGTCCATTTAAGTCATGGGGGGCCCAGCAACTGTCTGATTACCAGTATTGTTCCAAATACATTATTTTATGTTCAATAGCAGAAGGAATCTCATACAGGTTTAGAACAACAACAGAATTTTCATTTTTGGGTGAACTATTCCTCTAAAGCAGCCTAATATAGCTGCTGTTGCCATTTGTGTCAATAATGTAAATCAAACATCAGATGTATATTGAATTTATACAGTGAAGACTATTCAGTTTATTTGTACATTTTCTTTATACAATATATTTATTATTCAGTGCCTAAAGTTTTTTTTTTTTTTCCAAGTAGGTCGATTTTTTTATCATCTTTGTTCTGTTGTAGCCCAGATTGTGATTGTTTACTTGTCTTCAGTGAGCTTATTTTTACTTAGGGTAGTATAATTTTTTGTGATAGGCTATTGAAATTGGTAACAAAAATTATGAAATTTCAGTGGATCAAGAATTCTGATATGGGATAAAAATCCTGTTTAAAGCTTTATATGTAAATCAGTAAGTCATAGCCCCGGGGCCCAGTGCGGTCTTAATGCGGCCCTGGTCCCAATGTGCATACTATCCACCATATCTGCACTAAATAGTATTGGAAATGACTAATATCACATATAATTTAGGATGGATAGTATGCACATTGGGACGCAGGCACTAACTCCTCTTGAACACTGGAGATCATGTGTAATACACTACAGCCACTAAAACACGAACACCAGCGATTCAGACTGAGAGCAAGTTAATTTGCTGTAAAGAAACACATTTTCATTTACTAGAAACATTTAGAAACATTGGTGTCAATATTCATATAATGAGAATTTTGATTACAGATGTTTGCATTTTGGCAAAAATGAGCACAGATATTGCTGAGATTTCTTCTGAAAACTCAAGAAGAGAAACATGTGAGATTATGTCTTTTAATGTCTTTTCAGGCGAAATATTTGAGAAACAAGAGATTTCAGCTGAAGTTTAATCTCCATTTAGGAGAAACAGTTTATGTGAGCATATTTACTTTGTGCTCTGTTTATATCTAATCAAATTAAATGTTCATTATCCAAACATAAGTTATCCCAGGTGAAAAAAAGTAGGCTACACTTTCATAATGTAGGCTACTTAAAGTGCTATATTTCGCGCACTAATTTTGTACTTATTATACCTACTAAAAATGATACTTTAGTACTTCTTAAGATAAACTCAAGATCATCTAAGTGTAGGCTACTCAACTGTGGTATTTTGGGACACCATGAATATGAACTAAAATGCGCTTTTATCATACTATCTCTGTATTAAAAAAATGTATTTAGTCACCACTTGTAGTGCACTTGAGTGTACTAGTGTATGAAAGATGGGTTCATTTTAGTTCATATTCATGGTGTCCCAAAATAGCACAGTTGAGTACAAGATGATCTCAAGTTTATCTTAAGTACTAAATTATCATTTTTAGTATATTAAATACAAAATTAGTCCACGAAAATAGAGCACTTTAGGTATATTATGGAAGTGCACTTTTTTTTCACCTGGGTAATAGTGCTGGGGGGTTTTTTTTCACCTTAAGACGACACGTGAATATAGAGCCAGATTTTTGTTCATGTGAAATTTAGCTAGCAGAAAACACAACTTAAGTTATATTTTCCTATATTCTCTTTTGAGTAGCCAAAGAAAACCGTTAAAACAGGAAAAGTCACAAAATGAGATTAGATGAACATCAATAAATCTGAGCAAAATGTCTCTGTGTGCGTAGAAAACAAGTGAATGAATCTTCATCAGAAGCGACAAAAACAGCAACTCACTTCAATGTCTGACTTGTATTATAATTACATCCATAAGCTTTTTGTGAAATTTGGAGTAACTCAATCTGTTTTTGACCTCTTCATATTTAAGGAGAGAATATAGTTTCCAAAGTCGGACATCGCTTGTTATGATTTTCAAGGATGTAGAATTTAGTAGAGACGCTATGACATGATCCTACCAATATCAGATGCTACTAAATTGTCCCTAGCAATAATTTTGATCAAACAATGAAATGTCTGTTGTCTGCTGTTATGTCTCCATCAGTGCCAAAATCAAACCTACACCCTTTGATCATCAGCAGGGATTTTAGCCGATAATTCCAGCAATCGACTATCGGTGCTGATTAATCATCAAAACTGATCAATCAGTCGACCTCTATTATTCATTGCTGTTGAAACAGAAATTCAGCAATACATCCAAGCTATTTCATCCTCACAGAACTCCAAAGCTCTTCAGACGATAAACCTGTGCCAGCGTTTTCATTTATTTTGATATATTTTAAGTTTATGTTCTGTATTTCATTTATAATTGATATTTTGCTTTCATGATCATTTTATTTAAATAGTTACTTTTACACTATCCATGTATTTATATGTTTTGATACCTTGGCAATAAAAAAAAAGGGGCGACCCTCAATATTGCTGAAGCTCATTTAAAAACAAGAGATTTGAAGTGTATTTAAATCAAGATATAGCAGGGCACACATTTCTAGACGATATCAAGTGGAAGCCCCTCTTCTCGAGATGACACATTTTAATAAAAATAAACACATACATACAAAGGTTACACACTCAAATGTTAGACTAGATTAAGTACAAGAAAATGTACAAGTGATAAGTTGTCTATTTCTGAATTTCAAAATACACATTTATGATGATCTATGTTAAATCTGGACAGCTCAGGATATAAGCCCATCACTGAAAATAATACATTGATTTTCCTTGGTTTTCAGTGGTGTATAAACATATCAACTATTTTCTTAATGTCCTTTGGATAAAAAACCTTGACACCCCATAACTACTACATTGTTTAGTAAATGTGTGACTATCTCTGTCTTATGTGGGGTTTTCCTCCTGAGTGATTGTTCTCTGGAAGTTTCTTTGAGGACGCCTGTTGTTGACTTCCTTTTGGGACTTTTAAAAGAAGCGAGATGAATGACCACGAGAGAGAGAGCTGATTTTGTTTAGTTTTCTTTAAGCTTGTTTTCTTGTACATCAACACTGCTACACTTCATTACACTTCCATGCATTCATTTAACTTTACATCACTGATTCCTGACCGTTACATTCTACATTGTTTTTTGTTGTTTTTATAGTTTGATTTTGTTAATAAATTTTGAATTCTATTTCTGGCTCTCTCATGTGTCCCTGTTTTTGTTATGTCTCTTTTGAGCCACGGGGCGTAACAAATGGGGGCTTGTCGAAAGTAGGATCCAATCAACGCGAGGATGATTTGGACATATTTTATCATTTTTGTCGTTTCATCGTATTTTGTTGTTTTTGATTCTTTTGAACATGTTTGGTGACAACGTTTTGATTGAAATCCAGTTTGAATAATTTGACGTCACAATAAGACATCCTGCAGTGAAAGACTCAAGGCGTGTTTTCGTTTTTTGCAGAATTACATAGTGTCACCTCGAACATCATTAAAACAATTACGATATTAGTAGATGATAAATATCGCGCACTCCTAGCTCATCATACACCCTTCCAAATCAAATTTCTTCTTTTGGACATGTTTAAAATCACAAGCTGACACACAAGCATCAGTTACAACGCAGCTACCATCACTTAGGTCCTGCTCGAGATTCGGGCGCTGCTTGATCCATTACACGTGTGTGTTAGTGCCCCAAGGCATAACATGTAACAATGCAAATTAGCAAAAAAAAAAATGCAATTGGTTCCAGTTTAAAATAAAATATTGTAGAGAATTTTCACACCTGCCATTGCTAACTCTGCATAAGCCCTGTGTTTTAACTTTCTGTGATGCTGTGTGTCTCTGTGTCTCTAGTCTCTGTTGATTGTGTGACTGTGACGTCTCTGTAGCGGCTCTTATTCACCATCAGCTGATCCTGAGGAAACTGGACTGACGTCTAAATACTGAGAGTCCTACAATAAAACACACGGACAGTCACATATGAGTATGAGACATTACTGCATTCATATTACAGCCAGAGATATGAATGAACAACTGATCATAGATTAATAACAGTGAATGATCAACAACTCTCTCTTCATCATTTACACACAGAGACACTGGAAGAGATGAAAATATTCATATATTCATAGATCATCACAGAATTAAACACAGTTTAAAGTACAGAGACTTAAGTGGAGCTGAATTATTATGATCTTATATTCAATATATTCAATATGAGGCATGTTGCTAAACTCTGGCCATTTTAAAATATTTAAATAATAATATACTCACAATACTCACAATTCTCCAGTTTATAATGTGGATTTTCTTTCAGTAACTTCACTCCTGATTTTCCTAGTTTATTCCCAGTCAGATTCAGGTGTCTCAGGAGTGAGGAATTTGATCTCAGAGCTGAAGCCAGAGCAACACAACCTTCATCTGTGACGCCACAATCCCTCAACCTGTAGAGAACAATGACAGAATGTGAATTGTAGTTCAAGTGTCTGTAGTTTGTTATTGACTCTGGTCTCAGAGCAGGAGAGGAGATATAATGACAAGCATTGCCACAAACTGCTGCTGATAGAATGAGATTTATGCATGTTGATGCTCAATGGTGCTGTTTGAAACTGTCATGTGCTTCAGGACTGAACAGACACACAGAGCTGAATGTGAGATATTGTTTCATAGTGATATAAGGACTGATCTGTCTGGAGAAGCAGTCACTTGCTCCTCTAATAAACACCTGCAGGAGGACATTTGCTTCACAGGAGCCACGTGTTCCCCATTACATCTCATTTATTAACTCTTGTGATCAAACACATCATTGTATCATGTTTGGCAGCTTATAAACTGAACAGAAATCACTAAATCACACATTAGTATCTGAACATTCAGGTTAAATCTTTATGACATCTGTGAGAACACAATGAGCTCATGGGATTTCAGAAAAAGTGGAAAATAAGAGGAAAATAAACTCTTACACAGAGATGGGCAGGTGAAGGAGTATTAATCAAACTAGCAGAAGCAACTGAAGCTCCAAGAAATGTTTGGTGGCCAAAAACAGGAGCAAGAGCTCATGATGTGATGAAGATGAATGAAATGAACGTCATCTTCAGTCATTTGTGCTGAGATTTAGTGTGTTTACTGAACATTTATTTTACAAGCTTTAGTCTCAGAATTTACATCAAAAGGACAAAGACATGAGACTATCAGAGAGATGATCTTACCACAGTATCTCCAGTTTACAGTGAGGATCCTTCAGTCCAGCACAGAGACGATTCACACCCAAATCTCCTATTTTATTCCAAGACAGATCCAGGTGTCTCAGGTGTGAGGGGTTTGATCTTAGAGCTGAAGCCAGAGCAGCACAACCTTTATCTTTGACGCCACAATCACTCAACCTGTAGAGAACAATGACACAATGTGAATTGTAGATCAAGTGTCTGTAGTTTGTTATTGACTCTGATTTCAGAGCAGGAGAGGAGATATAATAACAAGCATTGCCACAAACTGCTGCTGACAGAATGAGATTCATGCATGTTGTTGCTCAGTGGTGCTGTTTGAAACTGTCATGTGCTTCAGAACTGAACAGACACACAGAGCTGAATGTGAGATATTGTTTCATAGTGATATAAGGACAGATCTGTCTGGAGAAACAGTCACTTGCTCCTCTAATAAAGAGATATGAGTGAACAACTGATCATAGATTAATAACACTGAATGATCAACAACTCTCTCTTCATCATTTACACACAGAGACACTGGAAGAGATGAAAATATTCATATATTCATAGATCATCACAGAATTAAACACAGTTTAAAGTACAGAGACTTAAGTGGAGCTGAATTATTATGATCTTATATTCAATTACACACATATGAGGCATGTTGCTAAACTCTGGCCATTTTAAAATATTTAAATAATAATATACTCACAATAGTTTAATGTCTCCAGTTTATAATGTGGATCATCTTTCAGATCAGAGAGTAACTTCACTCCTGAATCTCCTAGTTTATTCCCAGAAAGATCCAGTTGTCTCAGAGAGGAGATATAATGACAAGCACTGCCACCAACTGCTGCTGATAGAATGAGATTTATGCATGTTGATGCTCAGTGGTGCTGTTTGAAACTGTCATGTACTTCAGGTAGGGATGCAATGATTAACCGATTTCACTATTAACCGTGCTTTAAATCGTCACGGTTAATTAATCGCAAAGGTTCCGCAACACCGTGTTTCTGTTGCACGGAACGGAACTGTTGCAACTTGTGCAAAATGAAATCTAAGTTTGGTGCGCCAGTTTAAAGTTCCGACTTCCGAGCTTATCAGAGACACGGAGGCTATTACGCACGCACACTGGATTAACTATGGCAGAGGCACCTAGCAGCGAAACGGTGTTTCCTCCAAAGAAGCGCCTGAAGTCGGCAGTTTGGGATTATTTTGGGTACACAAAGAATGACCAGGGCGTCATTGAAGATAACGGATCACCTGTTTGCAAAACGTGCCGTAAAAAGGTTGCTGCTAAAGGATCGAATACATCAAATTTGATGCAGCACCTGCGGGATCACCACCCAGCTTCGCACGCTCAAGTAAAGGTAGTAATACATAATAACCGAGTTAAATTACGTGGCAAATTACTTAATGAAATATGTTGGTAGGGAATTAAATATAAACGTGTCACTTACAATCAATGCTGTAGCGGTGAGAGTTGTGGGCTTTAAGTGCAACGTAAACAAAGCCGCATGTAATGTTCGTCACGTGTAAAGACACGTGTAAAATTAGATGAATTATTAAAAAGAATATGTATGGATGATAGTTGATGACAATAACAGTTCAGTTAATAAGTTAATATTAGTCTTATATTAATAATAATATTAAATATTGTAGAAATATAATTGTTAATGTAATTAAATATTGAAAATCAACTTAAATCATAACTGCAAGTCCAGTCAAAGTTCATCTTGGTATGGATTGTTTTTTTTTTTTCTTATTCACTTTTAGCGCAAGACTAGTGGTGTAGCTGCAGTTCAACAACCAACTGTTGCAGAATCCTTTGCAAAGTATGTGACTCATGCTCCCACTTCAAAACAAGCCCAGGATTTGAATAAAGCAGTGGCCTATTTCATCTCCAAAGATATGATGCCATTTCAGATTGTGGAAAAACCTGGATTTCTTCATCTGATGAAAAAGGCAGTGCCACAATACAAAGTTCCAACAAGAAGCTACTTCTCCACAAACAAAATCCTAGCCATGTACAAGCAGGTACGACCAAGTGTGGAGGAACAGCTGGCAAAGGGTGTGTGGTTTGGCGTAATCACAGACCTGTGGACCAGCCATGGTGGTGGAGGAGAACCCTTTATGAGCTTTACAGTCCACTACCTCTCTACTAATTTAAGCTTAAGACTCACTGTCTTGAGACTCTTTATTATCCAGAAGACCACACAGCAGAGCATATCACTGAAATGATAGAAAACATGCTCCTGGACTGGAAGATAAAGAAAGAGAATCTGTCTGGAATCACAACAGACAATGCCAGTAACATGAAGAAAGCCTTTGCATCATTTCCCTGTGTTTGGTTTCCTTGTTTTGGTCATAATTTAAATTTGGTCATTTCCAAAGTCCTCAAGATGCCAATGGTTGAATCCACTACCAGAGCATGCCGGCATTTGGTTCAAGGCTTTTCTCGAAGTGGAAACGTGAACTTCAAAAGAAGCAGGCAGAATTGAACATCCCTGAACATTCACGGATCCACATTTGAAATGATTTCCAGGTTCTTGGAGCAGCAGCAGGCCATCTGTGGGGTGCTAGCAGGAGACAGAAGCACCTGGCATCTTATGCCTAAAGACACTGACATCACTGTCCTGGAGGAACTAAGCCAACTTTGTCCTCTCCATGATTTCACTGATGTCCTGGCCTCAGAGAAACAAGTCACACTTTCCTCCCTGAAGCCAGTCTTGGAGCACATTAACAATGAGATTCTTCAAGATCAAGAGGAAGACTGTGCTCTCACTAAACAAATTAAATATGTAATAAGAGAAGACCTGTTAATGCAGCTGAGATATACAGAGGAAATGAAGAATGTTCTGAACATATCCAGTTTTGTGGATCCCAGGTTCAAAGGAAGCTTTGCTGAGAATCTGGATGACACAGTCAAGGCATGCAGTGATGAAGCAATGGCACTTGCATCACATCCAGACACAGAAGATCCTCCAGCAGCAACCACACAGAGCACCTCATCTACCACCACCAAAAGGAATGAGAAGAGCCTGTCTGGGCTGTTACAGCAAATCACCAGTGCAAAGAAGAACAGGTCACAAGCTTCAGGAGGACATGCAATGCCATCAATCCAAGAAAAACTTGACTCAGAGGTAAAACTAAACTTGTTCTTTCCTGCAATCAGTGCTGATGCTGACCCACTGGCTTGGTGGAAGGCACATGTGGAAGAAATGCCAATGCTTTCAAAAGTGGCCAGAAAGTACCTCTGTATCCCTGCAACAAGTGTGCCCTCGGAAAGCGTGTTTAATGCAAGTGGCCATATTCTGTCTCCTCATCGATTAAGACTGAGCACTGAGAATGTGAACATGCTTACATCTCTGCACTATAATATGAACTGAAAGGACTGGAAATAAGTGTGCAATTTGTAAAAAGGCCCTGATGTAGGTGGGTCCTGCAGCCTTTGACTCCTTGTTTTGATCCAAAAGGATATGCATACCTAGCTCATATTCAATTCCAGAGATGTGGACCTTGTTTCTTTTTATTTATTTTCACTGTACTGTATTATTTATTTTTCAAAAGGCAGCTATACTGTTGAAGTCAAAAGCCAGCTAGAGTTTTTTTTTTTTCACTATGTTTCTACTCGGGTCCAAAAAATTGTAGAAAAACATACACAAACTGAAAATACAAAACAATTTTGTAATATAGTTAATCAAAAGAGCCTTTCAGACAGAGGTCCAGCAGCCTTTCACTACATTTGATTTCTTTAAAAGGGAAATACTTAGCTAATATGTAGCTTATATTTAATTCCAAATAGACAAAGACTATTTTTTATTTTGATTGTTATTTATTATCAGTGTTAAAGTATTACTTATGTTTAAGTCATAAACCTTTTTCACTTTTCTTTAATTCCAAAGAGAGAAATGGACTTTTGTTTGTTTTTATTATTATTTTGTGCTGTATTATTTGGTTACGGAGTTATGTCTGTGAACTAATAGTGTTGTGAAATTAATGAATGCATAATAATCGTGATAACTGTGAAACCGTGGTTATTCCTCAGACTATAATCGTACCAACAAGATCTATAATCGTTGCATCCCTAGCTTCAGGACTGAACAGACACACAGAGCTGAATGTGAGATATTGTTTCATAGTGATATAAGGACAGATCTGTCTGGAGAAACACTCACTTGCTCCTCTAATAAACACCTACAGGAGGACATTTGCTTCACAGGAGCCACGTGTTCCCCATTACATCTCATTTATTATCTCTTGTGATCAAACACATCATTGTGTCATGTTTGGCAGCTTATAAACTGAACAGAAATCACTAAATCACACATTAGTATCTGAACATTCAGGTTAAATCTTTATGACATCTGTGAGAACACAATGACCTCATGGGATTTCAGAAAAAGTGGAAAATAAGAGGAAAATAAACTTACACAGAGATGGGCAGGTGAAGGAGTATTAATCAAACTAGCAGAAGCAACTGAAGCTCCAATAAATGTTTGGTGGCCAGAAACAGGAGCAAGAGCTCATGATGTGATGAAGATGAATGAAATGAAACAGCAACCCTGCGCTTGACTGCACAAATCACCCTGAGATTATATATAGCATACTTAAGCAACACTTCAGTGAAGTGTCCTGCTCCAGCATGATGCAAATTATCACTCCGGTCTGAATCGGATGGCTGACATGCTGGCTCAGCTGATTGACGTTTTAAAGGCAAAGGAGGAGCGTAAACCTGAGTATGTATCTTCTGGGAGAGTGCGTAGAAGGAACACAGCTGGACCAAGCAACTGTAAGATTTGTGGCGACACAACGCACACTAAAATCGACCACTGCAGATCTGATCATTTGTGTTTTAGATGTCATGGTGCTGGTCACTCCAAACGTGACTGCACAGCGAAATTCCCAAATTCGACTTCTGCAATAATGTCACCCAACAGTCAGGGAAACTGACTCACCCACATTCTGGGAGGGGGTGTGTGGGTGATGTTGAAAAATCCCTCAAAGTGGATACAGATTTGGAAGCTTTGTTCAGCTCCTTTAAGAACATATGTCCTGACTTCCAGAAAGTCGTCTTTCAAAATACACAACGCGTTGAATGCTCAGATACACTTTTTTACACACCTGTTCGTATTAATGATTCATTCACTGTCAGTGCAATGTTGGACACCGGCTCTATGGCCTGTACGTTAAATGATTCAGTTGTCAGTAAACTAAGGGAACATGGTGCTTTGGATACTGTTAATGAAGAAGATACAGACGTCGTCTTAATTGGATGTGGCGGCAAACGAACATTTCCAAAGTGCATGCTTGAGCTTAAGCTGGACATTTACGGCTGTGACGTTATTGTCCCTTGTCTCGTTGTTCCAGGCCAAGGAGATGATCTCATTCTGGGGACAAACATCATCAAACATCTTGTTCACAGATTAAAAGATTCTGACAGATATTGGGAACTGATCTCTACGCCCAGTGGACATAATCCAGAGAGTGACGAGTTCTTGTCTATGATGGCTGGTGTATGTCGATGGAGGGGCGGAACTATTCCAGATGTTGTTGGTACAGTTAAACTTCAACATGCAGTTACACTTTCGCCTGGCCAAGAGCATCTTGTCTGGGGTAAACTCCCTATTAAGTCCTGTAGCCAACCGGGCAGTACAGTTATGGTGGAGCCATCTAGACTCCGTTCTGCCTCCAGGAATGTTCTAGTGTGTCGTGTTGTCACTCCGCTTTGGGGCGATGGCTGGATTCCACTTAAGTTGATCAACCCTAGCGATAAGCCAGTAACGCTGAAGCGAAACGCCAAAG